ACCGCAGACCCAGGCCCCCCTTGGCCCATCACTGCAGCACCCAGGCCCCCCTTGGCCCATCACCACAGCACCCAGACCTCCCTGGACCCATCACCGCTGCATCCAGACCCCCCTCTGCCCATCACCGCAGCACCCAGGCCCCCCTCCGCCCATCACCACAGCACCCAGACCTCCCTGGACCCATCACCGCAGCACCCAGGCCCCCCTCCGCCCATCACCGCAGCACCCAGGCCCCCCTCCGCCCATCACCGCAGCACCCAGACCTCCCTGGACCCATCACCGCAGCACCCAGGCCCCCCTTGGCCCATCACTGCAGCACCCAGGCCCCCCTCGGCCCATCACCACAGCACCCAGACCTCCCTGGACCCATCACCGCTGCATCCAGACCCCCCTCTGCCCACCACCGCAGCACCCAGGCCCCCCTCCGCCCATCACCACAGCACCCAGACCTCCCTGGACCCATCACCGCAGCACCCAGGCCCCCCTCCGCCCATCACCGCAGCACCCAGGCCCCCCTCCGCCCATCACCGCAGCACCCAGGCCCCCCTCCGCCCATCACCGCAGCACCCAGACCTCCCTGGACCCATCACCACAGCACCCAGGCCCCCCTTGGCCCATCACTGCAGCACCCAGGCCCCCCTCGGCCCATCACCACAGCACCCAGACCTCCCTGGACCCATCACCGCTGCACCCAGACCCCCCTCCGCCCATCACCGCAGCACGCAGGCCCGCCTCCGCCCATCACCACAGCCTCTAGCGGGGTCGCCACTCGCCCACGGTGCCCTACAAGCACATGAAAACTCAAGTCCGGGGTCTCAATGCAGTGAAATCCTTCGGCCCTCCTCCTTAACTAACGCCCTCGGTTTTTACAACTCGCTTGAAAAACCCTTTGCTTCCTTTACCGGCTGGGGGTAGCGAGGGTTTGGGGTGAGTGAGCTTAGCTGCTCTGCCCGCGGCCCGAGGGTGGAAGGTGGAGAAGGGGCGGAGGAGACGCAGAGGGGCTGCGGGTGCCGGGTCCCCACTGGGCCAGTCCAGGGCAGCGTGGACGTTAGGGTCCCGCAGGCTCAGGCGCAGGGCAGTGGACGTCGGTGGCGGTGTGTGGGTCATCATTTGCGGCGGGAGCCCCGGCCGGTCTTTGAGTTGGCGCGTGACCTGCTGACCCGCGAGTCCGAGGCACAGACCTGTGCACCTGTGCTCCGCGCCCTCCGAACCCTGGGGGCTGGCAGGGGGGGCGGTGGCACGCAGTCCCTGCGCTCGGGGGCTCTGGGCAGGCCCGCAGGCCAAGCTGGCAGCTGCCTCTCCTTACGCGGTGTTTACCACCTGGATGGAGGACACCGGGGGGTGGGGTAGGAGGGGGTCTGTGTCTGCGCAGATTCGGGGGCCCCTTCCCTCCCCGAACTGCGCGGCTTGGAGTCCACAGCAAAACCCACAAGGACCCGGAAAACCCGCGGCCCCCTTACAAGCAGGAAGGACCCTCTGGCTCCGCACTCCCGCGCCTTGCAGACCAAGCCGGAGGTGACATACTGACCCCGGGAGGCCCTTGGGGGACGGCCAAGGAAGTCGGCCTGTGGACGGCGAGATGGCCCTGGGGAATCGTGGCTGGTGCTGGGCAGGGAGGCTGTTGGGAGCGTCCCTTCTAGGAGACGAATGCTGACGTCCCTCCCGGGGGCGTCGCAACACCTGCAGCGCCCATTCGGATGGGTCGGCGCATCAACTGTGCCTCTACGCCAAATAATAAGAGAGTGACAGTTACTAAATCCTTGTGGTGACCCTGCATGACTCCTGCGGCTCTTGCATTAGGTGACTTTTCACAATAAGAAGGGAGGAAGTTGCACCGTGTGGGTCAAGAGCAGAAGTAACGGATCCACCAGGTCGGGGAGGCGAAGCCCCTGGAGGGCAAGCACACTCACAAGTCGGGGGGCAGGTGCACACGCAGGGGGAGGTGCAGTGCACAGGCCGGGCGACGGGGTCTTCGTGTCTGAGGAGCAGACATGGACGACAGGCCCCGGGTGACTCAGCGGCTCAGCCTGTGACTCTTGATTGCGGCTCCGGTTGTGACGTGGGCTGGAGCCTTCCATCCGGCTCGGCGTGGGGCTCCATGCTGGGCTTGGGGTCTGCTCCAGGCTCTGTCTGTCCCTCTGCACCCTGCCCCTACTCGTGCTCGCTCATGCAAGCTCTCTCCCATAAAAAAAAAAAAAAGAAAAGAAAAGAAATGAAAAGAAAAAAGAAAAGAAAAGAAAAGAAAAGAAGGAAAGAAATGAAAAGAAAAAAGAAAAGAAAAGAACAAAAAAAGAAAAGAAAAAAGAAATAAAGGAAGAAAAAAAAGAGAAGTGAGAGCAAATGGCGCCCCAGCGCGGGGGTGGGAGGGGGACTGGGCAGTGAACAGAAAGATCTAGCGTAGTTAGCACGGCCCACGGCCCGAGTGTGAGAGCGCGGCCTGGACTCCAGACAAAAGCAACAACCTGGCGCGTCCCTAGAAACCTTCTGGAAGTAGTTTCCAATGACACCGGACGCTGCGCCGACCGCTCCAAGAAAAGGGCAATCTTCCATCTGCACGATACATGGAGGAACGGGTTTTGCATTACAGACCCCTCAGCAATGCTAGGTATTTTCCTAAGGTTGCATCCTGCGCGGTTTGAGTGAAGAAAGTAAGAATTGGAGAATATTATTCCCAGCCAAATTACTTGTGATATGCGGTGTAAAAGTATTCTCGGGTTCGGGCACGGATGACGTAACCTCTACGGGAGAAAGTTACGTCTTCACGGGGCTCGTTTGACCAAGAGCTGAGTTTAGAACATGAAACTGGAGAAGTCACATCCAGGCGTACCTGTGGGTCCCCCTCGCTGGATCTGGACCCCAGTTTTAGTAAGATGGTCTGACAATGGGAGCCCAGAGGGAAGCATGAGCACACGGGGTCCCCGTAGCTCTCCTTCCCCCACGTCTGTCCTTCCCTGCGCTGGGCGGTGTCATGGGGAGCGAGTGCACCCCCCAGGTCGGAGGAGCCCGCGGGCCGGGGACTTGCGCCACCCCAGGTCCGAGTAACCGACGGGCCAGGGACATGCACCACCTGAGGTCGGAGGAGCCCGCGGGCCGGGGACATGCACAGCCCAGGGTGCCTGCCGGGCTCTCCGAAGTGCAAACACGCTCACTGGCTGACGTGGCCGAGCGGCGTGGCTCTGACATCCCGGAGCGTGCAGGGAAGGGAGGAGTGTTCCGGCGCCGTTTCCGAGCCCCGGGACTCCCAGAGCCCCCTGCTCAGTGCTGCTCCTGGCTCTGGGGACACAGCTCCTGCCACCCAGCCCTGTCTGACAACCCCCCTCCCCAGGTGACCGGAACAGCTAGGGTCTTCTCACGAGCGGCCCTCGAGTGACTGAGCTTCCATTATCTTTGCGGCTGCAGAGGAGCCGGGGATCAATGTGTTTGCTGCTCAGGGCTGAGGACCGTCACTTGCTTCCTGGGGATTAAAATCCAGAGGAGCAGGGCGCCCGGGTGGCTCAGGTCCTGACCTCAGGGTCCTGTGGTGGAGCCCCGGCCCCGCCCCAGCTGTCTTGAGTCTCTCAAGCCCTTGGGAAACTGGCTTGGGGCTCTGCCAGGGGGAGGGAGCACTGTGCCAGGAGTCCGGGAGCAGGGGCTGAGCTCCTCCTCTCCAGCTGGGCTGTGCCTTAGGACCCTTGCTCCACGGCTCCTCTGCAGGTCAGGACGGGGGCGGCCACGCCGGCCTGGAAGTCTGCAAGGACGGTCCAGGGGCGGCCTTTCCCCCCGGCCTTGTCCCGGGGCCCCGACATTTGTCCCTGCAGCTGCAGAGCCTCGAGGACGCGGCCAAGGTGATGAAGTCTTGGAATCCAGGTGCAGCTTGGGGTGAGGCCCGGAGCCAGGAAAGAATTCTTGAGGCGTCTTTGGTGCAAAGTGGTGGTTTTTTGGGAACCCCGGGGACGGGCCGTGTGGACACGGAGCTGCGGCCGGGCCTGTGAGGAGGCCACCACACACCTGGGGTGGGAGGCCCCAGGGACAGCTGCAGCAAGGGCTTGGAAGCCAGGTGCTGGGGACCTCGAGGGCTGGCTGCGGTGGGGGGCCCTGATCACCATCTAATAAAACCCGGGTCACGAGACCCTTCAGAGCGCGCTGGGCAGTGTGCTTGGGGTCATCGCCCACGCGGATCTTGGGGTAGAGACAAAGGATGCTTCTAGGGGGACTTTTATACGTGACAGTAGACTCGCAGGGGCCCGGGTCGGGCTAAGAAGGTTGCCTCCTGCCCTCAGCACAGGAGGAGCGCGGGGGCAGCTCAGTCCCCAGAGGAAGGTCCCCCTGCCTGTTTCCGGGACTGCTCGGTGGCCTTTGTCCTCAGCTGGTCCCTACTCCCCCATCACCGGCCGGGCCGGGGCGGGTCCCGAGGTCCCTCCTCCTAGGACTGGGCCAAAGAGGGAACTTGGGCCACGGGGGCGGGGCCTGCGGGGTGGGCGGGACCGGATCAGCGGGGAGCGGGGCTTGATCAGCGGGGCGGGGCCTGCCGGGGTGGGCGGGGCTGGGCAGGGTGGGGGCGGGGCCGGGGCGGGGCAGGCCTGTGGGCGGGGCCGGGGCAGGCCTGTGGGCGGGGCCGGGCCGGGGCTGGGCAGGCCGGTGGGCAGGGCCGGGGCAGGCCGGTGGGCGGGGCCGGGCCGGGGCTGGGCAGGCCTGTGGGCGGGGCCGGGGCGGGGCAGGCCGGTGGGCGGGGCCGGGGCAGGCCGGTGGGCGGGGCCGGGCCGGGGCTGGGCAGGCCGGTGGGCAGGGCCGGGGCAGGCCGGTGGGCGGGGCCGGGCCGGGGCTGGGCAGGCCTGTGGGCGGGGCCGGGGCAGGCCTGTGGGCGGGGCAGGGGCGGGGCAGGCCGGTGGGCGGGGCCGGGGCAGGCCGGTGGGCGCGGCCCCTCCGGGAGGTGAACCCCGGGGTCGGGGGTGGGGGGTCGGGGTCGGGGTCGGGCGCGGGGCGGGGCGCGAGGCCGGTTCCCAGCCCGGGCAGCGGGCGGACTTCCTCACTTTCGGTTTCGCGCCGCCTGGAAGGGGCAGGTGTCCCGGGTCCCAGACGCGGAGGCCGCGGGAGCGCCCCCGGCAGTGAGTGCGTGGGCCCGGCCGCGGTCAGCGACCTGCCCGGGAGGACGGGGCGCGGGAGGCCCGGGAGAGCCCGGCGGGGGGCGCCCGAAGCCGGGGTGGGAGGGAGCCGGGCCGGAGGTGCGGCCGCGCAGACCCCGCGGCTCTGCTGCCCTGTTGGGCCGCCCCGACACCTGCTGGGGCTCCTGCTGCTGGGGGCCTGGGGGGACCTGGGGGCCCGGATGCCGGGGACCCTGATGCTGGGGAGCCTGATGTTGGGGACCCTGATGCCGGGGACCCTGATGCTGGGGAGCCTGATGTTGGGGACCCTGATGCCGGGGACCCTGATGCTGGGGAGCCCCCGCCGGAGCCCCCAGGCCCCACCACAGCACCGAGTCTGAATCACTTCCCCGCGTTTACTGAGCCTGGCGGAGCGCTGACACGTGTCGGGCCCCCGCGACGGGCCCCCGCGACGGCTGCCTGGCTTCACCCTGGCTCCCGTGGGCACAAGACAGCAGCCAGCACCCTCCTGTGAGCAGGCACAGCCCATCTCAGGGCAGACGGTAGCAGGGTGGCCCGCGGGCTCGGCAGGGGCCGTTCCTGGGCCTCACAAGCACCTGGGCCCAAGCAGGGCAGGGCGCGTGTGGGCTGCAACCTCTGCGAAGCTGAGCCTGCCAGGCTTCGGCTCCCTCGGATGCAACACTTGCCAGGAAGCCGCGTCCAGCCTCCCAGAGCCTCCTTCGTTGGGCCGCGAGCCCTGGAGGCTGAGCCTGGTGAGGCTGGAGCCCCAGTGGGCCCGCTGCTGTGCAGGCTCCGGACTCAGCAGGAGCCCCTGGGATCCAGCCCCGCACAGATCCCGACCTCATCCCGGCCTGGGGAGGGGGGGCACTCCCGGCGTGGCTGCTTCTCGTTGCATCACGACGCCCATGAGCCCCGTGCTCCTTCCTGGGCCGGGGCCCTGGCCCGGCACTGGGCGGCCCTCAGGGAGGCGGGTGGAGCCTCACAGGCCAAGCTTCTCAGTCCTGTTGCTGCGGCTGCTGCGCCTGAACACATCGGGCTTGGCTCCAGCCCAGCGCTCCTTGCATGAGGACTGTGGCCGCCTCACGCTCAGCCCTAGGCCCTCAACAATCACCCGTGGCATCATCTGCTTGCACCGGGGGCCCCGAGCATGCTGAGGGATGACTAGGGAGCAGAAGAGGGGCCGTGCTGTTGGGGTTCCGGCGTCTGGACGGATGGATTGGGTGTGTGCTGCGGGGTCTCCACCACAGGAAAGGGAAACCGCAGGTGGCGCTGGGCTGAGACTCCACTCCGTGGATTCCTCCGGGACTTTGTTTCTGGCGAGGGGCAGGTAACTGCTGCCTGGGTGGGTACTTAGGCAAGAAATATTAGAGGGTCACGCATCAGCAGCTGGTTTCTGGGTCGGGTCTGGGGGTCCCAGGGGGTGGGCACTGGAGCATCCCTGAGGGTGGGCGCCAGGGGGGTCCCGGGGGGCGGGCACTGGGCGTCCCTGCAGTGTAGACACCGTTTCTGCCCCTAGTGCAGAGATGATCGCGCTGGTGCTCGGAGACGCTAGGCGCTGGCTCGAGGTCACAGCCATTAGGCTGCAAACTTCGTCCTCATTGTCACCGCCCCCACCGTGACAACTGGTGCAGGGCTCAGGGCACCTAGGCCGCGGTGGGGGATCCCCCTGAGCCCCGCTCCCCAGGCCCAGCTCCTGTGCCCCTCCACTGCCGCCCCTGCCACCCCGCGCCCCCTGTCGGAGCCCCCGCCCGTCGCCCGCTCCTCAGAGGCAGCCACTGTTCCCCATCCCTCCCATCTGGTGCCACCCTCCAGGGCTGGGGCGAGCTGGGGCGAGGTCAGCGCGGCCCCTTCCCAGAAGTGATGCAGACGCAGCCGGTGGGCCTCAGGCCCGGGAGATGGGCAGCCTGAGCCCTGGGCGGGGACGGGGACCCCGGGCCACAGCAGGTCCCCTGAGGCTTGCTCCAGAGGCAGAGTCTCAGCTCCCGCCCAGCCCGCTCACTCGGCACGCCTTTCCTGGCGATTCCCGTGCAGAGCAGAGGCTCAGGCTCCCAGCACCGTGCATCCTGGCGTTTTTGGAAGATCGGAAAGACGTAGCACTCACACGGCGTGGTCCTCAGCCTGAGACCTCGGGTCCTGGTTGGCGTCCCCGACCTTGCGGGTCAAAAATTGCTGTGTGGCCTAGAAAACCACGCGCAGGGGGGCGGCTGGGTGGCTCCGTTGGCTTAAGTGTCAGAGTCTTGGTTTTGGTTCAGGTCCCGATCTTGGGGTCGTGAGGCTCTGCTCTCAGTGCACAGTCTGCTGAGACCCTCTGCCCCTCCCTCTGCTCATGCTCTGTACATAAATACATAAATAAGTAAACAAAATGTGCATTTTTAAAAGATTTTATTCATTCATGAGAGACAGAGAGAGAGGGGGGCAGAAACATAAGGAAAGGGAGAAGCAGGCTCCGTGCAGAGAGCCCGACACGGGACTCGATCCCAGGACCCCGGGGTCATGCCCTAGGCTGAAGGCAGACGCCGGACCCCCGACCCCCGCAGGGCCCCTCTGTTTCTCCCCTGAACTAGCCTTTCCCCTCTGGGGAGACGAGAGCCCTCCCTCGCGACTCCCCACATCAGCACTGACTACCGTCGTCTCCCGGAGGTTCCTAAGGAAGGAAGTCGGGGACCCGTACCCCCCGCGTGAGGACGTGAGCGCGTGGCTGCAAACGCCCCCCGCCCCGCGTGTGGGCTCCACGCAGAAGTGTCGTCCACACATGAGCCTTGGAAACGAAGTCTGTGCTCCGAGGTGAGGCCGTTGGCCCAGGCGGGAGCCACGTCCCTGCAACCGTGGGCGCGCCTGGCCCTATGGCAGCAGCAGCATCCGTGGGGGATCAAGCGTCCTGCAAGCGCATCCAAGGCCGGGCAGAGGCCCCAGCCCCATCCCTGAGTCCACAGCGCACCCGTCCACAGGCCGTGCCACGCAGGTGCCCGGGGCAGGCCTCGCACCCCATGGTGAGGAAGCAAGACGCACGCAGCCCTCTGCTCCCCGCGGGTTTTCGGGGCGCACCTCCTGCCACCGGTGACCTGTCCTCACTCTGTGGCCCAGCGGGCACAGGCCTTCCTCCAGGTGATGGCATCTCCCGCATCGCCTGTTTCCAACCGCCCAACGTGGGGAAACCGTGTAGTCAGGTTCTTGGTGCCACGGCCGCACCCCGAAGCCCTGGTGTGATGTGTGACCCTGAGGCGCGGGGACCGGCTCCTGCTACCCGATGGCATCGGCTCTGGGTGCATCGCCGTCCACGTCTCACTGCGGGGAGGTGACGTGGGGCCCGCGGGCGCCTTTCACTGCGGACGTTTAAACCACCAGTTTTCCATTTTGAAGTGGAGTCACGCTCGGTGCGGCTCTGTGCCCTCGCGGGAAGCTGCAGAGCAAACGGGAGGGCAAGTCCTTAAGGGCGAGTCAGCGGGAGCCCCACGAGGGGAGGCGTCGGCGACGTGGCCGCAGTCACCCTGAAGAACACGCTTGGATGCAAGAGTCACAGGGAAGTTGTCCACGGACGTGTCTGGAGCTTTGTAAGAATCACGAGAAGTTTGGAAGTGAGGGCCGAGTGCAGGGCTCACGTGGGCGCCGGGTGGGGAGCGGGCTGCCGTCCCCCGGAGGGGTCCCCGCATGGCCGCAAACCCCCGAGGGACTGTCTTCCCTGGCGCACGAGGTGGAGAAAGCGCGGAGCCCGCGCTGTGGGCTGCTGGGGCTGGGCCCGGGCAGAGCTCTGAGCACGGCTCTGCGTCTAGGCCGCCGGCGGGCCCCACGTGAGACTCCTGCGGGGCCGCTCTCCCCACCGGGCCCCCGGGCGCCAGGACTCGGTCAGGGGTAAATTGAGGCTCTCCTCGCTGGCGGAGCCACTCCTTCAGCTCTGGTTTTCCGACCCGGCAGCGGGTGCCCTCCCAAACGCTTGCCATGCAGTGGCGAACACAGCTCGTCAGGGGGACGGGCCACCTACTGCATCAGGGCCAGGGACACGCTCGGAAGGACATGAGCAAGGTGGCCTGAGAGGTCAGGGGCAGGGGAGCGAGCGGGGGCGGGGGGCGCCCGCGGGAGACGAGCCACGGAGCCGCGGGACAAGAGCGTGTGTGCAGAGGAAGCAGCACGTGCCAAGTCCCGGCCCTGGAAACACGTGGAGAGGCAGCCGGAGCCCCTGTGTTGCACCCCCCGCCCCCGCCGCTGGGCCTCTTCTTCCTTTGCATCCCTGGGGCCCCTGGACTCCGGGTCATCGGGTCATCGGGGGCCTTCCTGGCCGCTCTGGCCGCTGCCGCCTGCCTCAGGACGTGCACCCCAGCTGGCCCGTGTGTCCAGCCCCTGCTGCACCCTGTGCACAGAGCGGACATGTGGCACTTGTCCAGATGACGGGTGCCCTGAGCCGCGCCACGCTTGCCCCCACAGGCCTGGGCATGGGGGGGGCATGCTGACCCGTCAGGCTGGGCGCTTCGCGGATGGCAGCCCAAAGGACCAGCGTGTGTGTGCTGACCCGGGCCATGTGTGGAGCGCGTGGGGGGCGGAGGGGCGGGCGGGCGCCTGGCACTGGGCGGGGGTGGCACCAGTGTCCTCCGCCTGCCGTTTTCCCCGACGCCCTGCACGCATCCCGAATGAGTGATGGCAAACAAACTCTGCTCAAGGTAAGTGTTTCTCAAGGACCCAGCACGGCGCTGAGTGCGCGTCCCGCCGGGCCCACGCGTGGGGGGAGGCAGGTGTGCGTCCAGGGACCCCGTCCCGGGCCCCAGGGTGGTGTTGGGCTTGCACGGCTGTGTTTCTGTCCCGCAGGATCATGGGCCGCCAGCTGGGCCGCGCGCTGGGGCTGCTGCTTGTGGCCGGCGCCGTGGCCGCGGCATCCTGCTGCGCGGCCGATGGCCGGAGGGCCCTGTACCGCTCCTGCAACCTCAGCCAGGTGCCCCCAGTCCCCAGCACCACCGAGATCCTCCTGCTGAGCTTCAACTACATCCGGGCCGTCACCCGCGCCTCGTTCCCCCTCCTGGAGCGGCTGCAACTGCTGGAGCTGGGGACGCAGCGGACGCCCTTCAGCGTCGACAGAGAAGCCTTCAGGAACCTGCCCAACCTTCGCACCCTGGACCTGGGCAACAGCCGGGTGGATTTCCTGCATCCCGACGCCTTCCAGGGGCTGCCCCACCTGCAGGAACTCCGGCTGTTCGCCTGTGGCCTCTCCGACGTCGTGTTGACAGACGGTTATTTCAGAAACCTGGGGGCTTTGTCGCGCCTGGACCTGTCCAAAAATCAGATTGGGAGCCTCGAGCTTCACGCCTCCTTCCGGGAGCTGGGTTCCCTGAGGTCCGTGGACTTTTCCCTCAACCGGATCCTGGCCGTGTGCGAGCAGGGGCTCAGACCCCTGCAGGGCAAGGCGCTCTCCCTTCTGAACCTCGCGGCCAACGGCCTGTACAGCCGGGCCCCCGTGGACTGGGGGCGGTGCGGGAACCCATTGAGGAACATGGTCCTGGAGACCCTGGATGTGTCTAACAACGGCTGGACCGCGGACATCACGGGCAACGTCACCAGGGCCATCGGCGGGAGCCAGATCTCCTCCCTGGTGCTCGCCCACCACATCATGGGGCAGGGGTTTGGCTTCCGGAACATCCGGGACCCTGACCGGAGCACGTTTGCGGGGCTGGCCGGGAGCTCGGTGCTGCAGCTGGATCTGTCGCATGGCTTCGTCTTCTCCCTGAACGCCCGACTGTTCGAGGCGCTCGGGGACCTGAAGCTCCTGGACCTCGCCCACAACAAGATCAACAGGATCGCGGGAGAAGCGTTTCGCGGCCTTGGCAGCGTCCAGGTTCTCAACCTGTCGCACAATCTCCTGGGCGAGCTCTACGACTCTGACTTCTCGGGGCTCGCGGAGGTCGCCTACATCGACCTGCAGCACAATCACATCGGGATCATCCAGGACCAGACGTTCAGATTCCTGGGGGCACTTCGGACCCTGGATCTCCGCGACAACGCCCTCAAAACTGTTTCCTTCGTGCCTGGCATAGACACTGTCTTCCTGGGCAACAACAAGCTGGAGACCGTGTCCCACGTGGACCTCACAGCCAGCTTCTTGGAGCTGTCGGACAACAGGCTGGAGGACCTGAGCGACCTCTACTCGCTCCTCCGGGTCCCTGCCCTGCAGGTCCTCATCCTGAACCGCAACCGCCTGTCCGCGTGCCGCGGCGGACACGGCCCCACGGGCAGCGTCGGCCCAGAGAGGCTCTTCCTCGGGGGCAACATGCTGCAGCTGGCCTGGGAGACCGGGCGGTGCTGGGACGTGTTCCGGGGGCTGCCCCGGCTCCGGGTGCTGCACCTGAACCACAACTACCTGGCCGCCCTCCCGCCGGGGCTGCTGCGGGACCTGACGGCGCTGAGGGGCCTCGACCTGAGCGCCAACAGGCTGAGCACGCTGTCCCGGGGCGACCTGCCTGCTACCTTGGAGGTGCTGGACGTGTCCAGGAACCAGCTCCTGTCCCTGGACCCCGGGCTGCTTGCCCCGCTCAGAGCCGTGGACCTAACACACAACAAGTTCATCTGCAGCTGCGAGCTCCGTCCCTTGGTGAGGTGGCTCAACCGGACCAACGTCACCGTGTTCGGGTCCCGTGCTGACATGCGCTGCGCCTACCCCAGCTTGCTTGCGGGGACGCCCCTGTCCTCTGTCTCCATGGAGGGCTGTGACGACGAGGAGGCCCTGCGGGCCCTCGCGTTCTCCCTCTTCATCTTCTCCACCGTCGGGGTCACGCTGTTCCTCCTGGCCATCCTTGTGGCCGCCAAGCTCCGGGGCCTTTGCTTCCTCTGTTACAAGGCGGCCCGGCGCCTCCTGCCCGCGGGGCCTGCCGAGGACGGAGCGCCTGACGCGTACCAGTACGACGCCTACCTGTGCTTCAGCGGCAGAGACTTCGAGTGGGTGCAGCGCGCGCTGCTCAGGCACCTAGACGCTCAGTACAGCTCCCGAAACAGGCTGAACCTGTGCTTCGAGGAGAGGGACTTCGTCCCGGGGCGGGAGCACATCGCCAACATCCAGGACGCCGTGTGGAGCAGCCGCAAGGTGGTCTGTCTGGTGAGCAGGCACTTCCTCCGCGACGGGTGGTGCCTGGAGGCCTTCGCGGCCGCGCGGAGCCGCTGTGCGTCCCACCTGGACAGCGCCCTCGTCCTGGTGGTCGTGGGCTCCCTGTCGCAGTACCAGCTGAGGAGGCACCCGGCCATCGGGGGCTTTGTGCGGCAGCACCAGTACTTGAGGTGGCCCGAGGATCTGCAGGACGTGGGCTGGTTCCTGGACACGCTCTCCCGACACATCCTGCAGGAGCAGAGGGGCGCTCGCAGGGACGGCGGCATCCCGCTGCGCACCGTGGCGGCCGTCGCCTAGCTGGCTGAGCCCAGGCCGCGGGGCTCTTGCCATTTGCACGGGTCACTGCTCTGGGCGCCAGTTTCCTACCTGGAGAACGTGATTGCACACGAAGCCCGTTCTCCCCAACCCGCCTCGGCAAGGGGTCCCGCCAGCCCTGGTCGCGGGCAGGGGGCACCCGGGCTCTGCAGCGCGACACTGAGCGAACCTGAGGGAGGGCGAGCCCAGGCCCCCCTCGCCGCCCGACGGCCACTGCACACCTGGAGCCCCTCCCGAGGCCCGCCTCACCCACCCTCCCAGGCCACGTTCAAGGCGTCTCCTGTCCCCGTCCTCATCCCCATCAGCCTGGGGAGCTTCCTGGCACAACTGCCCGTTCCCGAGCCCCTGCAGCCTGCCGTGCGTGGCCAGACCGTGAGCCCCAATGGCAGGGGACTCGGGCCCGGTCACCCTGCACCCTGAGCCCCACAGGGTGCTCAATCCATAGCAGGTGCTGGATCAGACCCTGTGACCCGATGAGGTGTGCTGTGAAGCTCAGCGTCCCTGCGTCTGTGTCCGTGTCCACTCCCGGGAGGACAGGGCAGACATGCGAGGGCAGGTGCCAGGTGGGCAGCAGAAGGGCTGGACCTGGGACTCAGCATGCACGGGCTCCTGGGGGGGGGCAGTCACAGCCTCGATGAGCAGCCAGGGGTTGGGGCTAGAAGGAGGGGATGGAGAGACTGGGTGTGGTGATGGAGGGGTGGGGGTGGGGGTGGGGATGGGGGATGGAGGGGTGGGGGATGGAGGGGTGGGGGATGGGGATGGAGAGATGGGGTTGGGGGTGAGGGTGGGGATGGGGATGGGGCATGGAGGGGTGGGGATGGAGGGGTGAGTGGGGAGGGGGATAAAGGGGTGGGGGTGGGGATGGAGTGGGTGATGGGGGATGGAGGACTGGGGGATGGAGGGGTGGGGGTGGGGGATGGAGGGGTGGGGGTGGATATGGGAGTGGAAGGATGGAGGGGTGGGGGAGAGGATGGGGGTGGGGAGGTTGAGTGGGGGTTGGGGTGAGAAATGGTGGATGGGGGATGGAGGGGGGGTGGGGGACAGAGGGGTGGGGATGGGGGATGCAGGGGTGGGTGGGGACAGGGATGGAGCGGTGGGGATGGGGGTGGGGGATGGAGGGATGGGGATGGAGGGCTGGGGGATGGAGGGCTGGGGGTGGAGATGGGAGTAGAAGGATGGAGGGGTGGGGGGGTGGGGAGGGGGTGGGAAGGTAGGGTGGGAGATGGGATGGGATGGGGTGGGGATAGGGGATGGAGGGGTGGGGTGGGGTGGGGTGGAGGACGGGGTGGGGCATGAAGCAGGAGGGCAGAGTGAAGAGGCCTCTTGAGGTCGTAGTCCCAGGAGCCTCGAGGCGAACTCCAGGGTGGCCTCACCTGGAGCCCAGCCTGGGGGAGGCAGAGGCCACCCACTGAGGATGCGCTTCCCGCTGCAGGCCCCTGGCAGCCCTGCTGTCCCCACAGCAGGAACAGGGAGCCCGACGCCACCTAGTGTCCCATCGGGGCTGCGGGCAGGGGACCCTGGGCTGGCGGGTGGGGGCTTGCGGCGCTGCCACCCCCGGTGCGCCCTGGCCTTGGCTGAAGGTCCCGTGAGTGTTTCCCCAGCAGAACCGGACACGCGGACGGACACGTGCAGGCGAAGCTGTCGCCCGGCAGGCGGGTTGCACAGAAGTCGGCAGGGACGGGGCCTGTCCCACTGCCCTTCTAATCCTCTTACTGAAAAACCCAAATAGGGATCCCTGGGTGGCGCAGCGGTTTGGCGCCCGCCTTTGGCCCAGGGCGCGATCCTGGAGACCCGGGATCGAATCCCACGTCAGGCTCCCGGTGCATGGAGCCTGCTTCTCCCTCTGCCTGGGTCTCTGCCTCTCTCTCTCTCTCTCTCTCTCTCTCTGTGACTATCATAAATAAATAAAAGTTAAAAAAAATTATGAAAAACCCAAATAGAAGTTTTCCTAATGAAACAGTTGAAATGTGCTCACAGGTCGAGGTTCCTGCTGCAGTCTGGGGGGAGCAGGACTGTGGACCCACAGGCCGCCGCACTTCATTCCCCAGGTGCTGCTTCTTGCAAAGACTCAGCTTCCTGCGTCCTTTCCATGTGCCTCCTGCCGGGCTCCCCCCCCCACTGTCCTGGGGCCTTGCGGCCTGGCCCCATCGGGTCCTGAGCCAACATGCTCCCCGAAAGCCTCTGCCCCCCACGCCCCATGGCCCAGCCCGTCTGTGGCCCTGAGGCCTCGTTTCCCAGCGGGTCCGGGAAGTAAGTGCAGACAAAGGTCAGCTCGCAGCGGTGGCGGCGGGCAGTCCCGGAAGCTCCTGTGTCAGGCCCGGGCCGGGACCTCAGGATGTCACCGTGCTCGGACGCCAGGTTGTTGCAGACGGAGTGATGGTCGTGCCCACTTTGCCCCATGGACAGTCCCCCCTGGGTCTGGACTCGATTCGTGACTTTGGGGCGAAACAGTGAACTCAGATCACGTCTCCTTGTTTGGTTTATGGAATGAAGAGTAGGGTCGAGCCCGGCTGGGCACCTGGCGGCCTCTGCTGGTCGTACTGCGCCTCCCTCCTGGAGGTGCACGAGGACAGGTCCCGACTCCTGCAGGGGACAGCGGTGTCCTCGTCCCCAGCACGGGGCCCCTTTGGGACCGTTGGGGATCAGCCCACGAGCCAGCAACAACCCCAGGAGCCACGAGCGCCCGCCCCGGCTGCAATCTAAAGGTGCGTGGGGCTGCCTCCGGGAAGCTCCCATCTTGGGGCGTCCTGCACACCCGGGGATCCAGCCCCGCGTGTTGTACGTCCTGCAGAGACGCATTTCGATAGCGCCCTGCGCCCCTGCTTCGCCCCACAGTGCGGACCCCAGGGAAGCCTCCTGTGAGGTCCGAGCAGGACGCGCTGTGTCTGCTGCTTCACACCCTCCACCCCGCGGGGGCCCCGGGCTTCGGGGCTGGTGGACGGAGGACACGTGGCCACTTGATGGCCTTTGGGAGGCCCCTTGGACGGGGTCCCCAGGCCCCGCGTGCCGCTGCCCACCCTCCGGACGCAGGGCTCCGTGTCTGGGCTGGTCCCTCCGAGGGCAGCAGTCGGTGGGGTCCCTCGTGGCTCCGGGTGCTGCCGGGTGGCTTGGGAGTTAGGGGTATGCGGCGGGCAGGCTCGCGGCTATAGGGACACTCATTTCATCCTCACTTAAGGCATCTGGCGTGTAAAATCCTGACTTCGGTGCCGGCAGCCTTGGTGCTCGTCCACACCTGCCGTGAAGCAGCCACACGGGCCGTGTAGGCAGTGACGCAGGGCCGCTGGGCCTGGCCCCTCAGGGACCCTGTCCTCACCCCGCGGGGTGCACAGCCCCAGCACCTCCCCACCAGCTCTGAACCCCAATCTCGTGGGACCAGAGTGTCGGCGCAGCAGCAAGAGCATGTGGCGTCCCCCCGCGGGGATCCGGCTTGCCACCAGGTCACCCTCGAGGTCACCGCCTGCACCAGCGCTGCCGAGCGTGAGCAGACGAAGCTTCAGAGCGTCACGATGCTCCTCGCCGCGACCTCCGCGCGCACAGGAGCTGCTCGGTTCAGGATTCTCTGTCGTCTCAGCGGGGCGGTGACCGCGTGCCGGCCCGGAGACCGTCTGCCAACGAAATTCCTAGCTGGTTATTAAATCAAAAGCAGAATAATTTCATTGTGTCCGAGACGCCACCGGTTGTCCTTTATTAGGTGAACCCCCAGGACACCTGATGGTTGCATCACGCACCCCACTTGTTCGGGGTTACACGTGAGGGAACATGCTCCAGGGCCCATGGGATGAGCCCACGCGTTGTGCCACACGCGCCCCACCCACGTGGAAGCGTCTCCCCCACCCCAGGGCTCGGTCCAGTGCGTCCCCGGGCAAGGCCCATGTTTCTCCAGCCCAGACGCCCCCACGGAGGAGGGTCCCTGGGTCCCTGGGCATCTGGCTTTCTTCGCAGCAGGACCGCGGGGGCCCTTGTGATGCAGGCGCTGCTGGAGCCGCTGGGGCTGCGGGAGGCGGCACAGGCCGGGCAAAGGCTGGGAGGTGGACCCAGCCCGGGGCCATCGCTCGCCCCTTAGGGAAGGAGAAGTGACGCCCCTGTACCCATTGCAAATTTCGCCGGGATCCCAAGGCAGGAGCTGGGCCTTGGCCGCACGCGCCCAGGTGGGTCTCACGTGGGGTCCAGCCTTGCTGTGGGGCCCGCTGGGGACCTTCGGAGCGTCCCGTGGCCACACTGTGGCCCGGCTGCCCCAGGAGCTGTGTGTCCACTGCCTGGGACCCCAACATGGCCCAGGGTTTGGCATTGCTGCTCCGGGTGCTCCCCCTGCCTCCTCACGTCCCCACACAGCAGCCAGGACCCTTCACCACAAGCCCCATCCTGTCGCCCTCCACCTCGACGTCTCTAAACAGGACCTGACTGCATTTAGGATAAAACTCAGGCTTCGGCTCTGAAGGATGCTCCTGGGATGCGTCCAGGCCGCCGCCAGCCTCCAGCAGGGATTCCAGGGGCATCCTGGGGGGGGGACCCCAGTGCCTGAGCGCCCTGGGCACCTGAGGATAGCCCAGGAGGCAGGCAGGAGGGGTCGGGGCATCGCAGGAGAAGGGAGCAGACTCTCTGCCTGTGGAATCTTCAAGCCTGAACTGACATGGAGGCCGGGCCGGCGTCCCCTCCACGGAGAGGCTTGTCCCTGCTGTACCTTGGTCTCTGCCCACCCCCCGCCCCCTGCCTCATGTCGGCAAACGCCTTGAGAGCCGGGGTCCTGCAGCTTGTCTGCTGGTTGGACCTTCTCCTCCTGCTCTCAGGGCTGCAGGCTCTCGTCTGCGACATAGAAGGAAGGAAAGGGGGGCACTGAGGTGCCAGCCGAAGCGGAGCCAGATGCGCCCCCGGGACTGCCGGGGAGAAGCCGCCATGACCTTGGATTGGTACTAAGAACAGAGCGGCGTCATTGGAGGGTTTTAAGCTCCAAGGGACACGAGCAGATTAGTGCTTTGAGACCTACCCCTGCTGCACGAGGACGACGGGTTGGAAAGACACTTCCTGAGGGCACAGGATTTAATTAAGAGACTTTAAAATTTTTTTAATTGTATTTTAGGAACTCAGGCAGGAAGGCATGGGAGCAAAAAAGATGAGCTCCAGCAGGCGGGGCCCCAAGATGCTGTGCTGGGCTGTGGCTCTGGGGGCACAGGAGGGGTGGCAGGTGCTCCAGGTCTGGGGCAGCTGAAAGCCACGTGGGAACACAGCAGGCTGGGAAGCCCAGGAGGCCGCCCCCATGAAGAGCCCACCCAAGACCCCAGTGCTCTGTCTGTAGACCTGGGAGAACGTTATGCTGGGCTCACGGGGCTCGCGAGGATTCAGCGAGGTGGCTTGTCTCAGCACCTGGTACACAGCAGATGCTCGCTACATGTTGGCCAGGATGACCTCAAAGCAAAGGGGCTACAGTCGGGGTCCGTGAGCAGCGGGCAGGCTGGGGATGCAGCTGGGGGAGCCCCGACGTCCCCTCACGGTTCCTGGGGCTGCTGGTGGAATCCTGCCGCTTTGCCACAGGGGCGACACCTGAAGCTGGGCGACCGCAGAGGGAGGCATCAAGGACGCTCCCAGGATTCCGGGCCATTCAAGGGTCACATAGTGGAGCAGGCCTGTGGGTGACAGCTTAGAGCAGAGGCCCTGGTGC